GTACTCTACGCACTATTGCAGCCCGATCTGAAAGGAAGCTCTGGGATGGTGAGCCAATCTCATTCGAAACTACCTGTCTGGCAAATGTTTTGGATTGTAGGGACGGGGACATAACAGACATAAATAATATGGACGTTATCCGATTCGGGTATGGCGCTTCTTCGACAATCTGATCTCATGAAATTGTGAATCATCGAAAGGTGGTGAAGGACTGTGAGACGTTCACCCCTGCCAACTGCAACTGGACCGATTCTGTGGTCGAAGATATTTGGAGAACGACGTCGGACCTCATCAGATCGAAAGGTGAGCAACAGAAACACCGATTTTGTCCCTTGTTCCCGATTTCTTTTTTGCGCACGAGTCTCACGCTATTATACGATGCACACTCGAGAATCGAGTCTCGGAAAACACGTCAAGACGGGACCAAAGCCTGAGAATACGACCTCGTGTTTTTTTGAAGCGAATGATGCTCCACCCACTAGTCTTCCTTTCTAGGGGTTGACCTTGAGGTCTGTACTACCGGAGAAGAGGGAGATTTGGGGAGTCTGCAACTTCGAGACGTAGAAATCGACCTTGCGAGGCTCTCAAAGCTAGCTAAAAAGTCCCTCACCGATGACGAGGAGGAGGAGGGACCGCAGATAGCACCCAGGCAGGTTTTTGATATCGAACATATTTTCCCGAAAACAGGAAATCATCGGGGCTTATCAGATCGGGGCTCACTTCATTCATTGGTTTGATTCGGAAACGGAGGGAGGAGACTTCACTCAATTCGATGCAAAAGCTCCGAATCATTGATCCTTGTTCATAGCCATATTCGTTCATGTGGTGACTGACCTCGGCGAAAATTCACAGACCAGCCACCCCTCCGAGATCGAACAAGATGGTCTATGACGAGGGCGACGAAGTGGTGGACTTTGTTGAGTTCAAAGCCGAGGAACCTCCCGCGGTCGTGAGAACCACGCCGTCCAGGCAGGGAAGTCTCGAGACTAAAGACAAATCTGCCGCTCCATCTTCGCAACAAATTCAGCAAGGCGAGAATAACCATGTTCATATTGACAGCCTGATGAGTAGATAGTAGAATGCCGGTTTCCGTCTGATTGTCCGCCTGCCTAGTCGCTTGGGAGTGATCGCGCGGCGGGAGAAGTCTCAGACTCATTGACATGTGAGACGGAATCGGGGAGACACGGCTCCTGAAATTTCGCTCACATCTACTCTGATATGAAGGTTCTCCCCTGGACAGCTCCGTCAAAGATCTTTCCGCGCGTTGCGAGCAAATCTTGGATGGCTTCCAATGCGTTCAACTTTTCAACGAGCGTGGATCAGTTCCGCCGACGGCCGTTCCTTGACAGATCGCGAGGATTCCCGATCATTCCCATAATGGCGGGAACTCCACGCGGCTTTCCTCTGAGCGAAAACATACGCTGTTTCTTCTGGCTCATTTATTTTATCTCGACAGATGACTGTGGAATCGTTGAGGACTCTCGGCGGCAGTCTAACCCACCGATTCCGTCGGCGGAACTCTCAGGGACTCCCGGTAAGTGTCTGAGTCTCTGATTCGAAGGTTGAGAATATGTCGCTCCAAATGTACGGGGATAATCTATTCAAGGCGAACGAACAAGCGCAGCGGATTATTGGACGGATGCAGGCTCCGAACACGGCTCCACGGGGATCGGATCCGGAGCGCAATACGAGCCTGGTATGACGACCATTGGAATCGAAAAATTTTGAAGTACAAGAATCAGTTGCCCTTCATTCTTATCCGAAACAACATCCAGCTTTCAACAGCTAGGGAAACTCACCTATGTCTCCTCCGTTCCGCAGTAGACATTGTCGGGGACTTGGCGAGTGATATCGAGGAAATCCAGGAAATGCTGCAAGGTGACTCATCTGCCGGGCAGGCTGTATATTCAGAAATTAGTATGACGAGGGAGGAAGTTCATGACGTCGCTTGCTCCTCCCCGGAGTAGTAGACTGCATTCCTTGATGACTGCGATCTCGGTGTTCCGGCATGATGAGCGACCCTCGTTCATGTATCCTGTGATTTTTCTCATTTTTCGCTGCCCACCCGCCTCTCCCGACATTTGTATCGAAGTATTGCGAACTTGTTTTCCAGAAGAAGAATCTGCCGACTTGCAGAGAATCGGGGAGATCCTTAGGGGTGCGTACTGCACATGTTCGCAGTTTTCCCTCGCTATTTTACGCGGCGCCTCATATTTTTCTTGACTATCCTCGAGCTGCTCGCATCGCTTTGAGCGTCCCTCCGCCTTAGTCGTCGAGACGGTTTTGTCATCGCGCATTCGGAGAATGATCGGAAAAATAATTCCAGAGGATGGAACCCCAGTCGATGGAGTCCCCTCGTCCGATGAAGAAGAGGGAGAGGAGAACCTTGACACGAATATACGGAGTGAGAAGGAACAAGGTGAGATCGACTGAAATAATATCTGCCGTATATTAGTGTACATAAGAGTCCTGGAAAACTCGCGGTCACCGAGATGATTCTCAAGCGAAATCTTTGTGCGCCAACTCAGAAGAAAAGTCGGAACTGCATCGGACGCTGACCGGCCGGGAGGAGGATGGGCCCGACCGCCCAGACGACTCGAACAATGATTCCGGAGGTAACTTCTGGCGCACTTCTGAGATCGTGTGTGAGCCGATGTCAGACATCCTGTAGAGATCCAATCCCCGAAATCTCCTCCGGAGTCGCGCTAGCGAGAGCGTGACGAGCGATATCGCTCGACGAGTTTCTGTTTGCCCAAATGCCTTTTTGAGATCGTGTTTTTGTACGAGACCCACCGTCGGAGGCTCTGCCATTGGGTCGGAGCATGGAAATTATTCGATTTTCAAGACAAATCATTTCAAACATTTTCAAGACAGAGCTCGGTGAATATTTCCCGTGTGAGCGTCGATTTCCCTGCCGAGGCTGTTTTTATGCCCGGCGGGGAATCTAGTTGGCATGGAACTTTGTGTGATAGAGTCCTCTTGTTTTTGGAAGAAGGTTTGACTTCTCGCCTGTTCTTGAACATGAATGAGGTTACGACGATCACGCGGCTGAACTCTCGGAGTAATCGCTTTCCCTTCTCATTGGATCGAATCAGCGAAGCGAGGGACGTCTCCACCCGGATCCTCGCTGCTTCCGATTGTTGAAAGGGTCGCTGAAGGAGAGCAGTCTCTGCAGCGAAAGGACGACGTGAAGCCCTTCGATTTCAGTCACGAGCAGCGGAGCAGTCAGATGCGCAACAGCCTCGAGGATGTGAAGGTTGTAGAAGCGACTCCCTAGATTCGCTACGTAGCTCTGCTGTCGGGCGTTCCCCGGGAGGACCGATTGCACGAAACAGCAACTTGACGCCTATATCTGAGAACGTTCTGCAACCATCTCCAAATGAATAAGGATCTGGAGTGCTCTAAGTCCTGAGTCTTGTGAGCAATCGGGAGACTGAGATCTTTCTTCGCGTCCGCAGATGAGGAAACTACTCCTTTACCCACCAAAGAAGCGAATTAGTCTCTCCTAGGAGTGGAATCACTTCCCTTGCGCTGGATTGTGATGGCTCCTCGACGATCGCACTCGGGAGACATGACCCCGACGAGAGAAAACAACGCATTGGCGGACATTTCCAGGTTCGACCTCTCCAAGGCAGTATGGAAAATCAACCTCGAAAAGAAACAAGATTCCCCAGATTCCTCCGGCGAAACTTTCGGTTTTGAATGCTTGACCAGTGGGGAAGTAGTGACTTCTCAGCCGGTACCCGGGGGCGGGAACGGTCAGCTTCTATCACCGAATTTTAGCGGTCGTATCAATAACAGAGAGTACAAGTTGGACCTGTCAGAAAATATCTATGCTCTGTAAATACCCATGTCGTAACTGACCTCGATCGTGTGTTCGTTCAAGCATTTCAAAGTTCGATCCCCAAATAAAAATTGAAGTTGCTGATTGCAAAAGTTCCCCTTGCGGTCCTGTGCCTAGAATAATTTCCCGACCTGGAGTCTCATTAGCGCGATTGAGAACAATAACCTCAGCCTCATTCGGAAATGTGAGCAAATCTGACCGCCACGCTATACAGAAAGTCTCATTCGGTCAATGAGACATTAATTTCCATTCGAGGGACTTTCCAGCTCGACCGTTAGACATCGCGCTGATGAGCCGAAGAATTTCCGCCTCATCCCCGCTTTCCGGTGAAATAACCAAGACGTCAGAGAGAATAGATTACATGTGTACATGAATGTATTTCGTCGGATCGATGTCTGATGTGAAGCTCCCTAGTTGACTTTCGAAGTGAGATGCAGACGAGACCGTTTTGTAAGATTCCGCGGAGCCTCATTCTTCCTTTCCTCATCCCGTCGTAGGGGATCGTCGTCTTAATAGCAAGTCATCGCTATTCATCTGAACAGTCGGTTTGTGACTCTTCTTGTTGCGGGCTCTGACCCCGCACACCAGTTGACCCCAGTAGCTTAATTCGTTTCCAATGTTACAACATCCTATATCTTGACATCTGACAGGCGAAAGCTGAGTGCAATGACGGAGGGGTACCAAATCAAATTTTTCCGACAGAGGAGACTCTCTTCTATAAGATCAGACTGAAATTTGCATGCCAAGCGCATCGAAGCAGCGTAATCCGGCGAGCATGACTGGATAGATGCTTCTATTGAAGGAAGATCGGACATTGCGCACTTGACTTTTCCTCCCCCCTAAATAATGTCAACGGCTCACCTGAAGATGGTTCGGATCGAAAATAGCGCTCGCGTACGGAATCAGGTTTTTCGAAATCGGAAAATTGGGGGAGAATTCAGAGCCGCATTGTGTTGGCACACTCACATTAGCAGTCGATGCTTTCTCTGAGCCTCACGGAATCTTCCGTGGCATTATGCATCCCGCATCAAGGAGGAGTTGTCTCTTAAGAACATCAGAGTTTTATTGGGGAGGGGGGATCCTAGCGACCGTCAGCTCTTTGAATCGAAATAAAACCAGAAAGACGGTGGATTTCATGGCACTCGAACCTCTGGCAAAACTCGACCCGCGGTTTTGCGCAATCAGGAGGGGCGTCAGCCAGTTGATCGCCGTCTTGGTCACCACTTATTCTCCTTAGGCCACTTCGAGTCGAGCTCCTGGACGAGATTCACGTATTTATGATATTCTTTCTCCAATTTCCAGGCTAGCTTTTCGGCTTCCCGGTTCGATATGTGTCCGTGAGACACCCAGACACTCTTGTGTGGTAGTGAGATGTGCGGCAGGTGCTGGAAAAATGATCAAGTCCGAATCGTAACCATTGTTTACTGCTTCGGCACCCTGTCATTAACAAGTGTTCTTGGGGTCAATTTCCATAACGCGGAATAGCCCGAATCATTCGCGGAAAAATAATTGTTCCGGCGTATCATTGTTTTTGCTACGAATGTCTGACTGTACCTTAGGCAATGGCAGCGGGAAGACGAGCGGTATAACCGGAGTTTTCTTCAGGGCTTTAAGACCGATCTTGATCAATTTCTTGTGCATGTCACCTTCACTGAGCGCGACCATCAGGCCAACCACCAGGGCTACGGTCAGGGCGAGTCGTCTCATGAGGAGCCGATAGTTTCCACGAAATCGAGAGCCTTGTCGAGCTCCTTGGGTTTTCTGGCACGCCAAAAGATGCTGAGCCCACTGAATATCGGCTAAGGATGAACTCGTGCACCTCCTTCTGCGGAGCTGATCTCTCCTGAAATCCAAGGATTTTAGGCGTCGGTCCGATTTACGAAACGCGGTCTTGAATCACTTCACAATGGCGCTCTGCGCCTTAGTTCGCGCACAGAATCGGAAAGAGCAGATGGACAGACACCGGTCATGTAATGGCGAGCTTCGGCGGACGCCCGCAGTTTTTGTCCCGAGTGTCAAAAGCTGTTTCGAAAACAAAGGTGTTCCTCACTTGGAAGGGGCGATACAGGCCGAGTGGAGAAGGATCGCGTCCGTCCCTCGCCGAGAGTTGTGAAGCCGCTTCGGCCACCGCTGTCCGCTTCTCCGCGCGGCAACAGCGATTGAGCAACAGTCGTCGGCTAAACGAACGGACTGAGCGACCGACTGATATATTGATAGATAGAGTTGTGGAACTGAAATCGGACGAACAGACAACTTGCCGAGCTGACCGATGCCGAAGGAATTGATGCATCTTTCCGCAACCATTCCTTGTCTATCAAACGAATCAAACCCACGACTCGACAGAGGAAAGCGAGAAAGAATTGGACAGTTCCATCTCGTCAAGGGCTTTCTGAGCTTTCGAATCGGAATCGATGGCGCTCCCACGACTTGGAGACTTTCCCACAATTCCGCAGCTCCTTTTCGGATCCCGAGCGAAGCTCATGACTTCTCTCTTCCAATATCGCGGGATGATCCTCGCGCATAAATTGAATGAGTCGGATCGAATGTTCTCGTATGATTCTTCTAGAAACAAGGACCAGATCGCGTTGAATCCTCGCAGCGAGTTTTCTCGCAGAGAAGCGGTTGCGAATCCGTTCATCGTTTATCCCGCTCCAAGAAATCGGATCCTCGGCTCCGATCGGGCTCAGTTTGCTGCGAAGACATTTATCTTTGTGGTCGGACAGTCAGGTAAGAATTCCTAACAATCGATCTTCAATTTACTCACGAGGAACTAATCTTCGATAATGAGTCGCTAATTGTCTGTCCGCATGCCGATTCTCGTTGCTTCATCGGAGACTCTCGGTGTGCATCGGAATTCCACCCCTGCTTCGATCATCCTTGGCCCGTCGTGGAGTCAGTGGTCCGAGGGGCAAGATCAAGAAGAGAAAAGAAAAAGATAATTTCATCCAGAGAGGAATGAATAAACGAGATATTTAGCAATGATCGTGTTAGAACAATCATCGAGACCAGTGGTTCCCAACCCGTGTTCCGAGCAGAATCCCCAGTCTCTCCGAGCCTCCAATCGGTTTTCTGGGAATTTCCGGATCCCTGAGAAGGAAATCATTCCCCCGTGTTGTGGCGCAACCCACAAACGTACTCTGGAGGGCACCATCTGGAGCTTTGGGGGTGAAAGAAAGAACCCCATAGAATAATATCGCACGATATCGAGCCTTGGTGTTCCGCAGCCGCAAACGGTGGGTAACCGAGACACTCACAGTGCCACGCCGAGAAGACCGGAATTGGGAGATAACGGGGTTCATTATTTCTGCTTGGAGCGGCGGCTGGTCAGATGCTAGAGTGTTTGACAGTGTTGTCACGTCTCGCTTGAATAAAAAAAATCCGTGTAGGGAAAAAGTTCAGATCAAGGTTTGGAGAGACGGATCCGAATTGCAGCGTATGTGGCGTAGGGTAAAGTCCAAACCCACCAGTGGAAAGTCACGAAGATGCGAAAGCGACGAAGAGATTCAGAGAAAGCTTCGGCCTCACGAGATGTCCCACAGAACAGACGAATCATTGACATTTTCAAACGAATACTCGAAAGATCGAAAAGACAGGAGGTGGAGCCGCCCTCACCCCATTCGCAAAGCGTCCCCCAGGCCTCCAACGATCACGCCCCCGACTTCGGGATTCCTTCATGGAATAGAGCATGCATCAATCAAGGCCGCTTCCTCAAATCGGGGGACGCTGCTCGTTGCGCCTCCCCGATAGCTGCTAAAATTCCGTACAGAATTTCCCACAAGGAAACCCTGTCGGGATAGCAGGTCCCCAAACGCTGATCACCTAGCTAGCAACATTCCCTTCCGGGATCGGTTGTCGGAAGCTAGAGCAAATCGGTGATACCCGGGACGTAATGAATAGTTTGGCTGTGTTGCTTTCTTCGGGATAACATATGGTGAAGGACACGTGAGTGGTGCGGTCCTGAGTTTTGATAAAGGGCAAAATTTGTATATAAAAAAAACATAAGATATGACGAAACCTCGCCCTTTAGATGACTCGGATAATTGAGGTTTATGTGAGTATCGATATCGATTTGCCATCAGTTTTCAGAATGAGATGACTGTCTACAGTGGGGATTCCGAGAAAAATTCCATGTCCCCCCATCTGATTTTGGAATCTTCCGCGGAGCTCGAACCAGTCCTACGTCGAAGCCCGGGGCACAGCAAAAACGCCTGACGTTGCGTTGTCAGCCTGGGCGTAAGCGAGCAGTGAGGCGGAGATGAGCCTGACACTTAAGACGACACCCACTGATACGTGCCATCATGGTCACCGATGATCTAACGCTATCGTGTTACGCTGTCAGACGCATTGCAGTAATCTGCGGAGTTTGATTCATCAGTCGATTGATTGGACAAGCTTGAACTGGGCTTGACACGAAGACTTTAATTTCTTGATGTTTAGGGTCAATCATCTTCGCGGAACCACGTACCGCTACAAGATGCTGCCACCTTCGACTCTACTGAAGACGGTTATTGGCTCCAGTAAGATCTGTTGCCCTCTGCGTAACTCTCATCATCATGAGAGAAATCCGATGACAAGATTTTCTTCTTCAGGAAAGAAAGTCTGCGCCGCGACGAATTTTGTCCGGGAAGGAATTACATATGTCGGGGAGCGCTAGTGTCAAGGGGATTTTTGCAAACTTTCACGAAATCTGATCTTTGATCACCATCCCCGTGGAAACATGCAACTCCATGGAGGGCGTTCCCCGTGCTTGATCTATCGATCGAGGGGCTTCACATCAGTTTGAAAGAAGATGTTGGAATTCCCTAAGAATTCAGGTTTGAATGAGATACGACTCATTGAGAATTTCGATTGCACTTGACTTGACTTCCAACGATATTCCGTTGAATCGCAGCGCCGTCGAAGACTGCAAGCCGTACAATACGAATCTGAGAGAAGAATGCTTCTTTCAAACACTTCTCCAATTCGTGAGCAGTCGTGAGATGATCTTCGAGAGGAGGACCCGACTGATCGTTCAATAGCAAGGAGCTGCATTGGGGATCGGAAGTGAATTCTAAGTGCCCGAGAGATCCGAGGAGAAAAGTCCAGTAAGGAAATGGCTTCGGACTCGACAACTTGGCCCGAAGCGAGTGACATGAGCGGTTCCACAGGGGGTCACAACGGCGTTCTCTTGAGCGAATGTCGAAACGAGGTAAGTATATTTCGATTTAGGAGCCACGAATCCTCCAAAAATTTCCCCATTATCGTCAGTGTTCGCTCGCGAAAGCACACCGGGAAAGTGTGACAAATACCTAATACGATTGCGAAGAGCGCAATATCGACCCACAAGCAAATAGAAAAAGTCGTTGACTCGGCCCGAATTCTTCTTCTTAGTTCGGGATGGTCGTGGAATCGCTGGTCGTCCGTCAAAGCGTCACCTTGAGAATCCGCAATTGATTCCTTTACAAGCTGTTCCATAACGCAATCAGATCCATCTAGAAATTCTCCATTCATCAATACTCGACGTCGCCGCTTTAACTACACATAAATATGGTCACGGTGAGGCGAACGATGCATCTCAATGGTACTCTTGATCGCATGGAATTTCACAAGATTACTACACCTGTTAATGTTATGCATTCGCGTCGGGAATTTCGCGGGGAGATCGCCGAGGAATCACTCCCCTCTTCTGACACGAATGATCGGATCGCGAGCGGCTGACTGCATACGTCTCGGCGGCGATCAGTTCAGAGGCCAATGGGGTCAGATTTATTTTTGGGTTTGAGCGACATGACGAACAGCGTTACAGCTCTAATGCGACCGAAGGACGCAGGATGATCATGTCAAACACCGCAGCGTCACTCGACGTTGTTCGGGACTGCGGGCATCGGACACACGACAGCGACATTTTCTAGATCCCGATGGAATGCGTCCGGATCCCATGTTCTGCGATCCTCTTATTGACTTCAGGGAGCTGCGCAGAGTCACGGTGAGCGGGGAAAGCCATTTACGGAATTCGTTGAGATGTTTAAAGGCTCCGAAAAAATCATCCTCCGCCAAGTAGTGTCGAAACTGTCTTTTTATCATCTATTTATGTCGATTTCTGATTATCTACAGATCGAGCGCCAACCCCACAAGAATGAATGAGCGATTGTCTCCAAAGATGGAAACCTCCGTCAGTCTTCGAACAACGAGGTTTCCTTTATTGCTTTCGGTGTGTACAGGGCCAGTATCTGCATGAAGTTGTGTAAGGCACGGGAACTGAAAAAACTGAGCAGGGCTGTCCGAAGCGCGATGAAGTTCGCCACGATAACCACGAGTATCATGACAAACTTCAGAATTATCGCGGGATGCGCGAGAACTTTCAATTCTTGGATCAGCTTGAAGCCGTTGGGCACCGGAGGGCCGGTCGGTCACCGGGTCGATGCTTACTTGAACGAGGTCGGGAGCACAAAATATTCGATCACGGCTTCGGAGGTGGTAAGGAGAGCGGTCTAAACCACCACTTTTATACGGTCCACACCTTGAGTATTTCGCTGCGGCTCGTTAGTTTGACGAAAGCTTCAGAGCGCCTCGCAGCTTCGGAAACAGCGAGAAATATAGAGAGGGAATTCAGGGTCCTACGCCCGCGCCTGTCATGCGTCGAGCAAGAAGAGTCGCTGCGCAGCTGACGTCCACTCGGCCAACTCGTTCGAGAGCGAACCAGCTTCGAATACGTTTCAGATCTGAGAGCCTCAGTCGATGGACCGAGGCCGAACGCGCCGACGAGGATTGGTACGATTCAACACCGCGACCTCAATTTGATTGGCTTGGCGCCAATCAGAACGGTTCCGTGCATCTGATCTAGCCATTGAAGGGACTGCTTCGAGCGCTTTGAAGTCCGAACAACAGGAGTTCAGAAAAAGGTCCTTTCAAATAGTGGGGTCGAAGAACGCTTGACGGACCAAATCATGACGCGCTGTCGTCACTCGCTACCGTGGTCAATTTCAGTCCACCATCAAATATTTTCGGTGATCGCACGGTTGGGGCCTCTATGCGACTCCCATCTGAATATTTCGGAGTTCTCGCACACTCCCCAGAAGAAATCTGTCAAGGTTGCGAACGAGTGTGTCAATATTGGTGACATATACGAACTCAACCGAGAACCGAGAATGAGTGCGGTACGACAGAGTGGGTGGTAAAATTTGTCAGAGAAGCTGTCACGATCGAGCCCTTTACACAGGGAATACACAGGCCAATATCCAGACCTGGACATCTCGGTAAATGAGCGGAACCGGATATGAGTAATAACCCAGATTTTCCCTTCATGTAAGAAAATCACAACATAATGTTTAGGGTGATGATATCTCGTCGCAGGAATATAGTCCTCATATCAAAATATGGACAGGGACGTCATCGTCGAGAGACCCTCCATTAGAAGCGTGATTGGGCGTTCCTCCGGTCGAGCATGCGCTCCAGTCTCGACGAGAGCATCGATTATTATGCACCATCGATATACAATAACTACAGCTCGAGCCGAGGGTAAGTTTCCCATCGACGTCTCGAGTCACAGCTGAGCAATCCTCGTGGATCAACCCTGCTATGCGAGAACGACCTGTCGAGGAATTTCACAGACAGGTACTTATCGTGTATCGTATTGAATATTCCTCTTGAATACTTGCACCCGATCACAGGAGACTCGAGGCGTCCGTCATTCTAATGACATTGAGGAACAGAAGAAGCTGACATCTGTTCGAGAAGTCGAAATCTGTCTCTGCCGTTGCACCATTGGTGCTTCTAGACACTTAGGTCCTGGCGATCACTGACGGCTAGATCCTGTCCTCCCTGGAATTGATCGCCGTCAGAGGCGGCTCGTTCGGTCCTCGCCTCGGCTGTTGTCCCGCGACTAATCTCCGCCATCCGCCCGGAGTAAATGCAAAAATGGCAAACCAGCCGCGGCTCCCGTCGGCTCCTTTCACGAGACAACGTGGATGCGCTAGATGGAAAATTATTGGACATACGAGCTGCGCTGCCCGTTCTGCCAGCCTTCAGATCGAGCAGCCGTGAGTCCAAACAATCCTGAAGCCCTCGCTATTCGAGCCGAGGCATCGCAGACGGAACGGGAGTTGAAAAAGACATTCAGCTCAATGCAATAAAAATTCCGGTGTTTTTATTCTGCGTATTTCTTTCTAACAGATTCACAACAGTACCGGCTCGAATCAAGAGACAATTCGGACGGAATTCCTGAAGTCTCTGATTCGGCTCTGTTTGGGAATAATTCTCAGAGAAGTGAAGTCTGTTCCTAAGGACTCGAATCGAATTTGCAGCTCGGAAGAGTAAGGGGTAGACACTCGGGAGGAATAACCCGTGGCCAGGTCTGGCTTGCTATCGATGTCATTGAGATAAAGCAGCGAGTTCCCCTTTGAGGCTTTCAGTAAGCGAGACGTGACCGCGAGCTAATTTCCGATGGATCCCCGGGCTGCCTGAAGATCGCGGACTTGACCAATCGATAAGCCAATCGATCAATCTCGCAATCCGCTAGTGATCAACTACCGAAATGCACTCCTGAAAGGCGCCAAGATTTTTTGTAGCGGTGAAGGTCAAACCAGAAATGCGTGTCATCAATTTATTTTAGTGAACAGCGGGCGAAGCGGCGCGACCGGCGCTGGCAGAGCGGTTCTTGGCGCGAAGTTTAGCCAAGCTCTGCTCGGCTAGGTCCGCGCGTTCGTCCGCGTCTTCCAGCTCCTGTTGAGCCTTGCGGAACTTGGCGAGATTGAGGGCAGCGATTTCTTCGGCTTCTTCGATTTGTCTCTTGTAGGTCTTGATCTTCTGCTGGAGCTTGTCGACCGTGTCTTGCATGCGATCGTGGTTCTTGCGGTCTTCTTCCGACTGGAACTGCAGTTCTTTGATTCTGCGTTCCGCTTTGCGGTAGTTCTTCGCGGAATCGGCGTGACGTCTCTGCTCGTTTTCGAGTTCGCTCTCGAGTTCGCGGCACTTCTGCTCGAGTTTGGCGATGAGTTTCTTGCCACCTTTGAGCGCGGCAGCTTCGGCTTCGTCAAGACGAACTTGCATCTCTTTCATTTGAGCTTCGAGGTTTTTGCGGATCTTCTCCTGAGTGGAAGCGTGCTCCTGTTCCGCACGGAGCTCATCGGCAAGGCGGGCGGCATCGACCATGGCTTTCTTCGCCTTCTCCTCGCTCTGCTTAGCCTCGTTCAGCATTTCATCGAGATCGGCCTGAAATTGAATTGGAGTTGCGCTCCGATTAGAATCTTCGCGATGACTCTCATGAATTTGTACGCGGAACTCTGAAAATGCCTGGGGAAACGACTCGAGTTCTTTCCCCACGGCTGCTTACCTGCAGGGCCTGCACCTCGCCTTCGAGCTTCCTCTTGGCCATCGAGAGCGATGCGTTGTTAGCTGACATTCCAGCGGCTTGGTCCCTCAGCTCGGTGAGTTCACTTTCAGCAGAGCGACGGGCCCGCTCAGATTGATCGAGGAGCTGACGAGCTTCTTCAAGTTCGCCATGCATTTGGTTGCAGCGACGCTCGGCCATCGCGTACTGCTCTCGCGCCTCCTCGCGAGCGCGTTGTTCCTCCTCGAGGGCCGTTTGGGTATCTTTGAGATTCTGCTGATACCTCTTGATCGTTTTCTGCGCTTCGGCGTTCGCCTTATTGGCTCCGTCGAGGGCGATCTCGAGCTCGTTGATGTCCGATTCGAGCTTCTTCTTCACTCGGAGCGCTTCGTTCTTGGCCCGCGACTCGGCCTCGAGTGAAGCCTGCATGGAGTCCAAGGCTCGTTGGTGGTTCTTCCTGGTGTTCTCGAACTCCTCCTCTTTTTCGGCGATGCGGCGCTCGATCTCCTGGCGCACCTGGCTCAACTCGAGCTGAGCGCGGAGGACCTTGTTCTCTTCCTGCTCGAGGGCCGCCTCCGCCTCTTCGAGGGCGGATTGGAGCTCGTCCTTCTCGAGTTCCAAACGTTTCCTCATCTTCTCGAGCTCGTGCACGGATCGGCCTCCCTCACCGAGTTGGTCCATGAGGTCCTTGAGCTCGTCCTGGAGGTTCTTGTTCTCTCTCTTGACCGCCTCGTAGTGTTCCTGGGACTCGTCGTAGGCTGCGCGGAGTTTGTACACCTCGGTGGAGTAGTTGCGGCATTCCTTCTGCGAAGCGTCGAGTTCGGCCGCGAGGTCGTCGACCTTGGCCTTCCATTCGCTGATGACTTTGTCGAAAGATTTCTGCCTCTTTTCCAGCTGAGCGGTGAGCTGTTGAGCCCGATCGACTTCGCATTGCATGTCTTCAACTTCGCCTTGTAGATGCTGCTTGGTCTTCTCGAGTCCGGACACCTTGACGTTCAGGGTCTCGATGGATCCTTCGGCCTCTTCGAGTTTGATCTGGAGCTTGCGCTTGCTTTCCTCCAGCTCCTCGAGACGGGCGAGGCCTTCAGACTCGTACTTCCCGCGCCAGAGCTGGGCTTCGGCGTTGGATTTGGACAGCTGTCGTTGGAGGTCTGCCTTGGCCTCCTGTTCCTCCTCGAGAGCTTCGCGGATATTATCGAGGTCGTGTTCGATGTTACGGTACTTGCCCATGATGGCGGCTCGTTCCCTCGCTTCATCGTCGGCGGTTCGTTTTGCCTCTTCGGCTTGGGTGGCGAGCGAAGCCTTGAGTTTGGATAATTGGCTCACTTGGCTCTCAGCCTCCTCGAGTTGTCTTTGGAGGTCACCGTTCTCGAGGGATAACTTCTTTTTGGCGGCATCGAAGTCGTTGACGGTGCGATTCGATTCGTCAAGTTTGAATTGAGTGTCAGCCAGCTGTTGTTCGAGCTGTTTCACCTGACGCTCGAGATTAGCTTGCTGCTTGGTGTGGTGATCCAACAAGCCTTGGAGGTCCGAAACCTCGGCCTGAGCGGTTGCGCGGTCCTTGTCGCTCCTGTAAGTGAGAATGTGACGTCATCTAGCTTCATCGCGGATTTTTCTTAATTCGTTCGATACACTTTCCCTAACGCATGTGACCAACTCACTTGGCCTTGGCTTTGTTCAGGTTCTCGACGGTCTCGGACATTTCGGCGGTCGTGTCGTTATGTTTCTTACGCAGAGCTGAGATGGCCTGCTCGTGCTGCATATTTGATTCTTCGAGGTCCCGTCGAAGCTTTGCCAGCTCGTTCTCTCGGCGCTTGTTCAGCTCGATCTGGAAATGGTCTCGTCATCAGATTATCATCGTCTACAGCCTACAGCCCCAATAATCCTGGTTCCAATAATTCGTAGAGTTCTGAAACGGCGAGATCGGGATTGTATTCCGTTCGAGGAAACGGGATTTCTGCGACTCACCTGAGCCGAAGTTGCTCCTCCAGATTCCTCGAGCCTTTCCGACAACTCTTCGATCTCTCTCGCGAGATCAGATCGTTGCTTTTCGGCTTTGGAACGCGCTTGTCTCTCGGCTTCGAGTTCTTCCTCGATTTCTTCGGCTCGCTGCTGCAACTCTTTGATCTGTTTCTGGAGTTTGGAAACAAGACTCTGCTCGTCTTCCAATTTGGCCTGTACGGCGGCGAGTTCCTTGTCTTTCCTCTGAACGCACTGCTCAGCTTCTTTCTTCGCTTTCTCAAGATCCAGAACAGCTTCTTGCGCCAGCTTGAGGTCAGCCTCGACTTTGCGTTTGTTCTTGTCGAGCTCAGCACGCGTTTTCTTCTCGCGCTCGAGGGAATCCTCGAGTTCGTCAAGCGTCTGCTCCAATTTCGACTTCACTTTGTTCAGATGGTTGACCTTGTCCTCAAGGCCCTGGAGATCCTCGGCGCTTTTCTGGCCAGACTCTTGCAGATGCTTCTTCTCCTTGTTCAGTTTCTGGATCAATTCGTCCTGGTGCTGGATCTCATCGTTCAGGGATCGGATCTGGTGATCCTTGGATTGCTTATCCTGCTCGGCTTTTTGGAGCGATAGCTGGAGATCGTCCAGATCCTTCTTATAACCGGAAATTTCACCTTCCAGTTTCTTTTTGTTCGATGTCATCCTCTGGTAATCGTCCTCTTGGCGATGAAGACGATCCTCGGCATCGCGGAGCTGCCGGTCGAGGTCGTTTTTCTGAGCTAGCGTCTTGTTGAGTCTCTGTTCGATGTCAGACGCTCCGGATCTTTCGGATTCGAGTTGCATGAACAGATCGTTCTTCTCCTGCAAGAGCTTGACTCCTTGGCTCTCCAACTCCTTGCGGAGTTTCTCCTCCTTGAGGAATGCCTCATGTTCTTCGGCCAACTTCTGCTCGAGAGCTGAAATTCGGCAGAAATTTCTCCGGTACTTTCCTGAGCTCTCCAAGGGGCATTCCTTGGGGGGATTGGCATGACCACACAGTATAGGATTGAATTCGGAGACGGCATACCTCTGATTTCGTCCTCGGCGCGCACAACGTGGATCATGGGCTTGACTTTCGAGAAGAGTTTCCACCACAGCCAATTGCGAAGCTGAGCGAAACGACGCAAGTTCCGCTGGATAATCACGAGGGCAACCCTGCAAGACAGTCCGAACTGATCACTCGATTCAAGAACTTACATCCTCGCGCTTTCCTGAGAGCAGCTGGGATTCCTGAAGTGTGTGCGACATCTCCTAACTAGTCCCGTTTCGAGGAGAAGGCTGATCGAACAGTTATCCGAGTAAACAAGACGAGACCGATGTGGCTACTGACTCTTGAGGATCGAAATCCAATGGTTTCAAGGGTGGGAGTTTGTCGGCACTTTCGGTTCCGGCAGATTCTGGTTTGACCGTTTCGGCAGTTGCGTCAGTGGATCGTTCCGCCGTCTGTTCGACGGAAACCATTTTCCTGGGCGTACTAACTGACAGCGGTGACCTACACTACTTCCAGACCAATGGTAAATGAAACGGATTTTAAAGGCAAGCGATCTTCTCACGCCTCAGTGGCATGAATAAAAAAGAATAGTTGGCGAGGGCGGCTGCTGCCTTGCAGCCGACTCCCAAAAACTGTAACCGGTGGCTGGAACTCCGAAGAGAGCCTATCTTTAGGATACGGAGGAGTAGTGACTGAGTCGTCGAGCCCTTGCTTTTTGTCGATAAAAATCAGATAGTGCAACGTGTATGACCACTGACTTGGTAACTGACAGACAAACGGAGAGACTCTGAGATCCGGATACGGATGTACGAAACAACCGACAGACCTACAGATTAATGAGATGGGAAGCGTTCTGTCAGAGATGGATTGAGAAGGCCGCGCCTTAGCAGACTTCACTAGGGTCATATCTCAGCCGATCCGAGAATGGCGGTTGTCGGCGGCCTTGTCGCCCTCTTCGACATCTGCCTAAGCCCGATCAAAGGAAAGATATGGCAGGGACGCTGATAAGCGCCCTCGTGATTCATGAGGCTCATACTCGCGAATAGCAATCGATCAAGCGTGCATGCTGATCCCGTTTCGACCCTCTCCGAAGTCGCATCCTCCGCGAATTCCCGATGCGTTGCACAACATCACTCTCTCGAGGTTGGAATTTCCCATGAGAGGGTTGAAACATGTACGTGGGTCGGTAGGTCTTTGTAGTGAACCCAATACGATTACCGAGAGAATCCCCGGAGGAGGAATGGAGACCTACATAAGTCGATCAGCGTCGAATAGAACATTTTCCGCGTCGAGGCTACATGTGCATACGGTGGCAATTTTCCGCGGAATCGATTGATCTGATGGAGAGCAGTCATCCCCGACGGGACTATACGGTCGGCGAATGTAATGATTAAGGCTGGGCAGACTGTCCGCCTCACTCGACTCGGGAACGCCAACGAGAGAGCGACCTGTGTGCCCACCCTCGCCCTAAGTGTTCCGAGTCTTGCGGAGAGGTTGCCATTTCTCTAGGTATGAATATCCGTTTTTCGCCTAGGAACCTAATGTATGCCTTCTCAGGCTTCGGGGGAGCGTGATCCACTCGGAGTTATAGGCACAAGCGGCTCACCGTTGCTCCTTGAGCTTCTGGAACTTCTTCTTGCAGAGATACCAACGACAGGCAGATTGGATCATGGTCATGATCTTCCCTAGACGCTCGTCTCGCATTTCCTCGAGTCGACCCAGAACACCAGCTCGGAAGAAAATCTGGAACATTAATAAAGGATTAAGACCATGAAGTCGGTCTTCCACTGCACTCCATCAGTGCGAGGCTCGCGTCGATTGAGTTGTGAAAAGATGATACATGAGTAATGTTGACTGGACCAGGAATCAGGACTCTGAGTATCTCGTTCCCCGAATAATCAGGCTCGAATGGATTTTCAAAGCCGAGGGTGCACCGTTGGGTAGAGTTAGGCGAAGGTGAAGAGAGCCTCACGGAGGTTCATGTCGGGAGAGAACTCCAAGCTATTTTCAGGTCATCAAGCTCAAGAGAACGGGGAGCGGATCAGCGCATTCGGATATTATGGTCGTCGATAGAGTATCAGGATGAGGAATCGTCCCGAACATGCACGTTTCCGGAGTCAGCATTCCTGAATTCCTTCATGCCGTGCATACCAAAGATAATGGATGGACTCAGGGGAAAAGATAGGCCGTCTGAGCGTATTCGAAGCGTATTTGTGAATGCGTTTCGAGACGATTCAGGGAGACGGAAGCAGATCGAGTGCAAGAAAAATGGTCTCAAATCCCTCAGATGCATTCTTATACGAGAGTCGCTACTCCCTCCGAGTCGAGCGCTTGACGAGACTTCCCGATGAGATGACCCACCTTTGTCTGGCCAAATCGGTATTCGTCTTGGTCGAGTTCAATTTTGCCGATAACTTTCATTGAGGCCTCCTTCGGGTCGGAAGATCCGGCAGCTGCGTCCGGGGCAAGTATGTTGTACCTGATTGGAATTCGAACTTCATCTATTCGAACTCACTATGCAATTCCGACAAGATTTTTTCCCGATTCAAAACGGCGTTTTTCGCAAGACACCTAGTCACTCACCGCTGTTTGAAATCGGGGTACACCATTCTGTTCGGGAAACCCTTACGGCAGATGCGGATGCCTTCTAGCACACCGTTGCAGGTCAACTGGTGCATGACGAGATGGGAATCGATGACGCCAGGGGACTTGGTTTCGTTAGGAATAATGCAGCGGACGAAATGAGGGTGCGTGGCGTTCAACGTAGCCATCAGTTTGTTAAGCTGTTCGCGATACAGCAGGGACACGGTCTGGAAAGACGAGCCCTTGCCTTTCGAGCGCCCTTTGCCTCCGGCGGAATCTCCACTACCCAAACCGGGATGGTCTTCGAAAACTTCGCAGAGCAGCTGCATAGAGCTCTTCTTGAACTGATCAACGACGCAGTCGTTCAACGGATCCTTGTTCTTCTCGAGCCAGCCGACGAGATTGTAGGGGACGACTCCGGCGTAATGAACAATGGCGAAATGGGCTGGGGAAGCTCCAGCCTTGGGGGGCTTCGGCTTCTGGAAATTCCCGGACTTTCCGAGGTGGTTGTTGTTCAACTTCTCTTCGAATGTCTTATCAGTTGCCTTCGGGAACATGGATTCCTCCTCAAGGATCGAAAGAACTCCCATCGGCTTCTCGATCAGCTCAATACAAGCCTGGAGATCAAGTCCGAAATCGATGAAAGTCCAATTGATTCCTTCTCTCTTGTACTCCTCTTGTTCCAGAACGAACATGTGGTGGTTGAAGAACTGCTGGAGCTTCTCATTTGTGAAGTTGATGCACAGCTGCTCGAAGCTGTTGAACTGAAAGTCAGGGGCTCCTTTTAGCGAAACCAGTTCTAGACTCGGAAAGATCTGTCACAGAACCGGCAGAGTTCAATTGAATCGGAAATGGATTCGAGCAGAGTTGGGAGCTAGATTCTCACATCGAAGATTTCGAAGCCTGCGATATCGAGCACTCCGATGAAATGGTTCCTTTTCTGGTTGGTGTCGAGCGTCTGATTGACCCGTTTCACGAGCCACTTGAACAACCGATCGTACATCGCTTTGGCCAAAGCGCCGACGGATGAGACAACCTGTTGCAGGTTCCGACCTTGTGTCACCATCTCAGTGCCGACCTTGATTCTGGGCTTCAGAAGGTTCTTGTATAGTTCGGCTCCTTCGAGTCCCAACAACTGAGCGACTCGGTCGCCTTCCTCGTTCCCGTCGGCCTCAGCTTGCTCCTCTCGGGGTCGTTGCTTGAACTTCAAGCACCCGATTTGCATGACGGCCGACGTTATCTTGTAGATCGAGAGCTTCTCCTCGCCGTTGAATCCCAGGACGTCGAAAGCGGTCTGAATGAGGACATCACATTCACATTATCGAGGTCTGTCTCTGTCCTATCCGATTAAGGGGAATCCTCACGCTAGCATACAGAACACCACCGAAAATTGAATTTATACGTATCCCACTCACGTCTGTCAGGAGCAGTTCTTCTCCATCGTCAACTCCGGGAATTTCTACCTTGCCGTGGGAGACGAACTTGTAGTCGTGCACGTCATTAGACAGCATAAGTTTACCTGTAAAACGACTTCGATGGCAGAAAACGCGGCATACATGAGATTTCCCGCCGCGAAACAACTAATAGAGCCATCCACGAAGGAATCATTTCTCACCTTTCAGGCCCGGGATCTTGCCGGACATCAGCTGGTAGAACACATGGTAGGAGCGCTCTTTCTCCTGTTGGAAGATCACTCTAGCCTTTTCGAGGAGATAAGTCTCGATGTCGGCTCCGGCCAATTTGCCAGTGTTCCCGAAATGGATTCGGATGAATTTACCGAATCGCGACGAGTTGTCGTTACGAACGGTTTTGGCGTTACCGAACGCTTCCAGAACCGGATTGGTTTGCACAACTTGGTCCTCGAGATTGGCTTTCTTCTCCCTCGCGGCTTCTTTGGCCGACTGATTCGCTCCAACGATGGCGAAGTAGGCGATAACTTTTTTGGTATTCTCAGTTTTCCCGGCTCCAGACTCGCCACTGTAAGAGGAGAAATTATTTTTGCTACAACTCCTTTTCCGGACCGATAGCATCGTGGAATTCGTACTGAGACCAGCCGCACGAGTGCTCGTTGAGGTTGACCACTCGAGCCGGAGTCTCCCAGGAAGCATGTATACTGGGGCCCCCAATCCCCATTCTAGGAAACGGGGGAACAGAAGCCCACAGAGCATCGAGATAGCCCAGGACACAGTACTCACGTGATCAGCATAGACTGGTTCTCCTTGTCTGTAAGTTTTACGTCGCGTTAGAGGGGGTGTTTTTTTCCGTATTCGAAAAGAAGCGAATTCTTTCAATGAAAAATGAATGATGACGACTAAGGGTAAGGGACCACGCGGCACGCGGCTCAAGCTCTGGTCAGGAAACGGGTTTATCGCTGCTACCTTCTGGTTTCTCCGTTTACGGTCGGCTGCTAACACAAACACACTAGCAGTGTTATGCTTAGGCTCAAGAGAAGAATGTTTTTGTACCACTTTCTCCGATGACTGCGGCCTTGCGCGGCCTACTGATCACGGACATCGTTGATGCTTCCGAGCGTTTTCTTCGTGGGTCTCATGCGATTCGACATGTTATGGCGAAAGATTGGGAAAGGACTCGCTAAGGAAACTCACTGGTCAGCATGGCCATGTAGGCTCCATCGGAGATCGCGAACACGTGAGGGGGTACCTCAGTCCTGCGTTTTCCCTTGTAGAGGCCGACGCATCGAGGGGTGTAAATCGGAAATCGTTTGTACGGATTGATGGCAACGCAGAACAAACCCGAATAGGTCTAAAGAATAATGAGTAGCGTTATGTGCATGAGTAGCGTCTCTTGAGTCGATCATGACACCACACTGGACGCGATTGCGCCTCCCTGAACGGGAGAGAGAAGAATAATCGACGTGAATTCGAAAATAATGCCAGGAACTCACGTAGATGAGATTGTTGTAGTATCTCTCCTTGAGATTGTAGAGAACGGACGCGTCATTCAGATAGGTCAGGTTGGACATGTCCTCGCACTTCTCGAATTTCGGAGGGTTGACTTGCTGAAGAAGATCTTTCTTGACGGTCTTCTTTCCGGCGCCAACCTCCACAGTGACGTCGTCTCCCTTCTGACTTTCGATGTTCCCCAACACGAAGCCGTCCTTCTCGTCGGGGACCCATACCATCTTCTTGCCATCATAGGGCTTCGTCTGATCCTTCCGCTTCTGTTCGAGGGAAACGTACAAGAACGGAGTGGGATCCGGATCCTCGGGCATGTTGGCAGACGAAGGTTATGAAGTTCAACTGAAGATGGAGGTGTTCGTTGTTCTTGTTGGCAGTTAGCTTCCTGTGAACGACAAACGCGTTTCAGACCAATGGCACAGATGGGCAGCAACGCCCCGGGGATCGCCTCCATCTTTCACCGAGTTTACCGTCTAAGGAACCGGGTTGCTCGAGCCGCTTCCTCGGTCTCGCGGCCTGACCCGCGCCGTTGCCTACCTACTTTTATTTAGCGGGGTTTCTTGACATTTTTATCTGTATAGAAACAGCGTCGGTTTTTCCGACGCCAGCTCGTTTCGCCAAGCTCTGTCAAAGCTGTCAATCTTGAAACATGATGCTCTACTCAAAAAAGGTGTACGCCTTCGCAGTGTTACGATTCGCACCGCGTTGACAAGCTTAAGCGAACGCCTCGAGTCTCCGATATCCGGGATTCCTCGGAGGACTGTCGTTCAAGGGATTACCAAATCGGTTCGATGCTCATCCGAAGCCAGCTCTACAATCTCGTTCGACTCTCTCGAACTCGCTCGGAGCTCCATGGCAATCCCGCTCTGCGTCAAGCAGATGATTTCTCCCCGAGGGCGGAATCCCGGAGGAAACGGAAAAGCTCACACAGGCGTAGGAGACTTCCCAGGGATCAAGCGTGACATTTGCGTGCGATTCTAAACCACAAGATTTGAATGTGGGGTTCCCACGTTCCCAGATGCGCCTTTCGAGGATAGGACGTCGACATGTCAGCATTGATCAATCGACAGCATTCCGCAGAGCGAATGTTCGTGAATCGGAATTCCAGAGCTTTGAAAACACAGCGCACTATTCCCACAGAATCTGACATGTTGGCGGGGTCGAGGCTCACTCCGTCTCATGTCGGCATTGTTGGACGGCACAAAACGAGAACCGAAACGCATCCTGGTGAACTTACGCGTAGGGAAACTGCGAGGCCACTGTGCTGCGCAGAAACGTCGTTTCCTGCTTTTATACGGACCCGGGCTCTCGCGCCAAAGGTCCACCCTCGCAAAGCCCTTTTTGGATGGACGGGCATGCGTAGAGTTCGCGTTGCTTCCTCTTCTTTCAAGATTTCCGCTGCCGACGACGACGGCGGCAGCAACAACGAGACCGACGACAGCTTCAATAATCACGGCAGCCAATATCGGCATATCGGAAAGCTGAATAATTATTATCATCTGCTCCTTCGGTTCGATATATTGTGGAAACGAATCGAGTTTGAAGATTCGACTTTCGTCTATGCAAACTATCCATGAGAATCGAGCAAAACACAGCTTCGATCACTCTGCTCTCAGCAGACCGCCTCCTCAAGCGGATTCTTGAGGCGATCATCAAGCGCTTGCGTACCTATAGGCGGCCCCGAAGGAATCGTTTGCGGTGCAATCCTGCTCTCCCATGCTTGAACATATTCGTCCTTAAATCAAAGACCATGCCGATTTCTCGCCACCGAAAATAGCTAGCGGATGTGGTTCAGATAGTCGTCCCGGATATGGCCCGGGGCGGAAGTTCGAATTTCAAGTAGGTACATAATTTGTATTCTATGGACCACGCTCGGAAGCGGGGGAGGCTGGGCCGCGTTGCCGCGCACCGTTCCTAGGTCCCTCGATATTTTCGTCGGCACGCATCCCCGAGATGCTTATGACTTTGCCTTTTTGAGGAAAGCAACTGACAGCCGGAATCGCTTCTCTGTCTCACTTTCAGATGTTCCCCTTCGACAAAACGGAGTGACTCCCGACAACTCGCGGTCGGGTTTTCGTTTTTTTCTCGCTCGGGATTCGTGACCATGTAGCGATCCTCTTTTTGAGAGATCGCGGATCAGATCATCTGATGGAGTTGATCGATCATCCATTTGACCGTGGAAAGCCTCCCTGCGGGGAATGAGCTCCGTATCGCGGTCATTCGCTCCCTACCTGGACATCCAGGAATTCGTGAGGGGGGTGATTACACGCGAGGCGATCACTCGGAAGACAAAACCGGCACAACAGGTGTGAATTCGTCGTCGGATCCCACTCTGTCACATTCTCCTCATGACTTGAGCGGAAGGTACCCGCCATTCAGGCTAGAAAGCAGACCAGTCTGCTTCGAGCACTTGTCTCACATAATAGGTCTCCTTGTCAAGAAGAAATGCCTACAAGATAGAATAGAGCGGATGGGTGAAAGCTCTGCCAAGACATTCATGCCAACAGGTGGCTTCAAGTCCACAGGTAGGCATAGAAGCCTGAACCTGTTGCATTCAAGAAGAAGCGTCGATGCGGGAAAAAGTGCTCAAAAAATATTCCAAGCGTGTGGTTGATCTCCTCATTGTCGCCTATCCTTGGCTTTCATCATAGGACTCATTATGAGCGACTTGCGATCTGTTCCATGTACATAATTCCCAGACGCAACTAAATACAGGATTCGCCTTTTGCTCCCGCCACCCTGGATAATGAATCGGCTCGAAGAGAATCGCCCATCCGGTCGACCTCTAGTATTGAAGAGAGCTTGACTTTCGACAAGCTATTCGCTTGAGGCTCGCAATCTTCAAGCGCTGACTGACTCAATATTTCCTGGTTATTTTGACTGGCTCTACTGGCTCGACGGAAACCAACAGGCGTGGAAAAACCGACGGACCGACAGACGAATAGACGCGCGAACGCACGGACAGCCGAGCCAAGCCGCCAGAGAAGCCAACAGCGATTGCCGTGGCTGCCGATGCTGGAATGCGCCAAACAGAACCCATAGGGAGGGAAAGATCGACGAAACTCTGGAAACGAAGCCGACATATAGCCCGCGATGCCCTGGCTTAGCGAACACACGCTCACAAAACTCTCAGACACTTTCCCACAAAACTCACACACAGTCATCTCGGAGGAAGGAAACTCGCGCGACTGCCATCTATTCAATGACTCATCTGATCTCGGTGCGGTCAATTCTGGTGCAACATTCTCGGAAATTTTTTTCCCTTCTTCCTCACCTTTGAGCCGGTCAAATATTTCGAGCGTTCTCGGGAAACATGCTGCGGAAGACCGGTGAAAGCAGGTGCTTTGGCAGCCGGATACTCCAGTTCCGTTTCCTTTTTCCTCTCCGTTATTTTGAGATAGTAGCGCTGTCGAGATGTCAGTAGAAGGGCCGTCCCGCGAAGTCCCGAGAAGTTCGAGCGGAACGCTAAGATTTGCTCCATGAGCATTCCCCGATTTCGAATGGTGAATTTCCGGGCTACTCTCTGGAATCCGATGCTTACGAGGTGAAGCGATCCCTGACAAGTAAGCGGGTCGGAAGATCGGATATCGACGCTTGGAACAAAAGTCGTTCCTCGACGCTTGGAAGCTCGCAAGTCGTTGCCTCATACCCAGGAGGCAAAACGAGGCCAGACCGAGATGTTCATACACCGAGCTTCGACGCTCCGATTTGGACGAATTTGCATTCCGAAACGTCGCTCGAGTCGACCGTGGATCCTCCAACTCATTCTCCTCCCGCGGATGCATCTCTTGACAATAGAACGAGGAAGCTCTCGCTTCCCTCAGTTAGCCAGCAGCTGTTTGGCTGTCGAGAGGTGGGATGGCGGGGAGGGGGTTCGGACGATGTCTCCGAAAGCCTGAGTCACAGGTCACAGCCAAGTGTCCGAGGACTGAAGGCCTGGAGCTCAAATTCGCGAATACTGTCGAGACTTCGACTGATGAGCTCATCGAAAGTTCCGTGAGGCGACTCTCCCGGCTGAATCGTCCTTTGAAAATTACTCCTTTTCTCATCTACCAGGGAATTCTGTGTTCTCCGATGTCGTTCCAACTCGTTCGGAGGGAGCGGAGACACCACGCCTCCCGAATTGAATCTCCTCCAGATCATCAATCTCAGGCGTAGGAGGCAGCGTGCAGGGGTACCCGCCGTCCGGTCAAGGAAAGAGAATTACCTGGCTCGGCTTGTAGTTTCGCGCGGACAACGGGGTCCTCTCATCGAGGGAACATTCCCTCAATCAATGAATCAGAAGTCATTTTTTTTGTTCCTTGGTTTGGCGTGCAAAGCATGACGAACCTGCGGCTTCTCCCGTAATTCGAAAGATAAAGGGGATGAATCGCCAGTTCGGAGTCAAGGCTCGGATGTACCGTGGCTTCATATGCAGCACAGCTCCCTTAGGATCCTACCTCAGACCATCAAGCTTCCGCGACTTCTATGATTAATTCCCGACTGGCGCCAGACATGGACATCATCTTTCTCTAGAGACGACAAACAGCTCTGACGTATCCACGATTCTGCTCGCTCGCTACTCGAAGTTGAGCGGGCCGCACGGGGAGCGCTTCGCTCGAACAAAATGATTTCACAGTCGGGAAGCGTTTCCAGCTCTATTAGGCCTGTAGGTAATCATTTTTCACGGGCCTTTCTCTGAACGCCGGAACGAATTTTTCGAAACGTTGTCGTTGCATCGGACATGCAGGAACCAGAGTACGGAATCTGGGTTGTCGGTAGTTCTCTCGCGACGTGATGACGAGCTTCCGAAGTATCCCTCAGAGCATGTTTCGAGCAGCGGTTTTCTCCCCGACGCGCGGGAAAGGGGAACGATCGAGAAGAATCACTCAGATTGGACAAAAAGTTTCAATGCACGATGGAAGGGTACAGAAATCGTGATTCCCCCGTTTTCGAGTTTTCTTCCGATTCGCGTGTAGCAGGGAGTCATCCAGCAAGGCTCGGCCTGACCGAACTCATTTCCTGCCCTCGAGAGAGTATCCCGTGAGAGATGATTCGTATGCGCTGACTGTCAGACCATGAGCCCCGAAGCAAAGATAACAAAAACCCCTGAGAGTCGTTCAGTCATGCTATATCTTGAAGGCCATCCTGCGCGTGACAATCGCATTTTTAATTCTGATGTCTATCAAGCTGCTATCGATAACATCCCGCAGAAGCTGGCTGGAAGGATGCTGAGGTTATGAGCTCGGTCTCGAACTT